ATATATATATATATATATATATATATATATATATATATATATATATATTTGTATATATTTGTATATGTATATATTGTATATGTATTTTATTATATTATTTTATTGATTCTATTTTATGTAATATATATTTTTAAAGTTATTTTTATTATTATTTTAAATCATGAATTATACTTAGATTGTATTATTTCTTATTGATACAATTAAACATTTATCTCAGATATATAAATATCTGACAAGATATTTTTATATATATATATATATATATATATATATAAAATCAATTTTATTTTAAATTTAAAAATTAAAATTATTTACCTTTTATCACTCTTTAAAGGGCACCTGTGATGAAAATCATCTTTTCTAAGCTGTTTGGACAGAACTGTGTGTAGGTATAGTGTGTTCACAGTCATATTCTGGTGAAATAAAGACAATAAGTCTCTTTTTTAAATTTCCTGATGTTAAAATAGGATCCAAATCCCTCCAATCTTGAGGCCCACTGCAAAATGACATAGGAGTGTGGTTTCCCCACCCACCGAATTGATTGACAGTCGCGTATTAACATAGTTACATCTCCATAGGAAAGCTGCGGTCACACTGCACTTTTCTCCATTCATACGCACTTCCATTCATACGCACGCGGATTCGTCAGACCGGCAACAAAAGGTCATGCGGCAAGTTTTGCAGTTCGCTGCATTGGAAAATTCAAGCTTGGTGAGCTCTGACCTTACTGGAATTTGATCGGTGAAAGTGTTTCCATCATAGTTTATGCTCATCTTTTATCAAATAAAAAGTTCATCATACTCAGTTATGCACATTTTCAATATGAATGCGCATCTTGGTGTTTCCATTTTTTATGCGCATGTCCAAAATGTGCATAAAAATACACTGACAAAAAAAAATTCTAAGATGATTACCAATTTTTTTTTTTTTTTAAGTCAAGTGGCAGCAAACAATTTATTTGGGCTGAATTCAAACCCGAAAACTCTGACCCGAAATTGCATCATATGATTGTGTGAGACCAATCGAGGATCAAAACATGACCTCTCTGGACAGAAATTTAAAACATCGACCAATCGCTCGCTTTTTTTTAATGTCTAATCATCTTGTTTAATCCCATTAAAAGGGCAGCGCTATATGACAGAATTTCGCAAGCTCAAACTCTAGTGTGACTGCAGCATAACACATATAATCATATCAACAAGACAGGACATTGTGCTAAGCAACTGCAATTTAAAGATCTGTTCAGCTCTCTGTTATCATCAATTGATCAAGAATGAGTTTTACAAGTTTATCAAATTTTTAAAACATGCATGTTTGTGATGAATTACTGCGATTTTAGAGTCTTTATCACTACAGCCACATAGTGTCAGTACAATTATAAAAGAAGGCACTTTAATCCCGGTTTTTCGACTTAAATCAGGTTTATTTTGTACATTAACAACGGATATCCATACAGCAGTGGATATTACCGTGTATACTGTCACAATTACTATGTAAAAACAGTGCAAAGTTACATTTGTGCGATGTGTGTGTGTGTGTGTGTGTGTAAACTTTGCAACAACATTGTATGTGACTCATCATTGCAGAGAGCTTAAATTACTCCACAACAAATACATCAAATAATCATTGGGAAAGTTCTCACTGTAGTATTTCTCACAAACGTTACATGAGATCTGCTTCCTTCATGTCTTTCACTCTGCTGTTTATCTGACGCAGCCAGAGACTGAGGCACACTCTGAAAGGCACGTGGGAAATGTGGGCAGGAAGAACTAGCATTAAAGGCACAGGCAACAAAAACAGCTACATTGTGTTTAGAGCAGAGAAAATTCCAAACCTCTGAATGGTATAATAAATAATCTGATGGGTGTTTTGAGTTGAAACTTTCCAGACACATTCTGGAGACACAACAGGCTTATCTTAAATTTTGAAAAGAGGGTAAAATAGGTGCTCTTTAAGCAATTTATTATGCTCTTTTTCTTATACGCTTTTTTTTTTTATATGGCAAATACTTTTTGAACCCAATCTCAGGAGATGTATACATATATAGTTCATGAAGCTTTCGCAAGAGTTTCATGCCTCAGTGTGATGAAATACCTTGATTTTTTCATAATTACGCCAACCCCCATTTTTGGATCCAACACAGACACTAGATGTTTTTTGAGGAAGTAATGGATAAATGCTATTTGCATTGCTTTGTTTGTAAAAAGAAAGGGTAATTAGGTTAGAGGAAGAGAAGACACCGCATCTGGCGCTGAACGAGAATTTCTGTGTATGTGATTAGTTGCCAAGAGGGTCCCCAGATGGCATCTATTACCTGCGTGCATTAATTAAAGATCCAAGCGCGGACCCCATTAAAACTCAGAGTGGCCCCGAGGACACACGTGAGTTTATGTTCTGGAGATTTGAACTTCACTGAAGATGCTTGGAACGAAAGTCAAAGTCGGATGAAATAAAGAAGGCGGGATGAGAAGGAACACATTTCGAGCACCGTGGACGTGTTTCAAACGTGGCGCATTATGTTTTCATGTCGTCGAACAGTGAAAGGCACCTTTCAAGTTGGCGCGTTGGCTTATTTAGTTGATTTACTCACCCTCATGTCGTTCCAAACCTGTATGACTTCCTTTCTTCTGGTGAACACACAAAAGGAACATTCTTTTGAAGGCTGTGAAAGTACAAAGAAGGAAAGCTTTTAACTTTCGGGAAGGACACAAAAGCATAATGAAGGTATTGTAAAGGTGCAATTGTGCAACATACACTTACCAGACACTTTATTAGGTATTTGTTGCTAATATCCTGCTGGTAGTAAATGTTATGGATTGAATTAACAGGGGGCATAAAGGAATGGAGACTCAACAACATTTAGGCAAAGACTATAGACAGACCCCTGAGTTTTATTATGAGGTTTTTAGTGATTTTTTCGCCAGTGGCTGATGATTTTTTTATTTTTTTTACTACTGGTTGTCTATTTACACTTGTGAATGCTATTGAATCCCTTGAGCTACATCCGAAATTGCATACTACGTCTGCAAGTATGTACTACATTTGAAATTGAAATGTAAAATATCTGTCATGTTGTCATTATCACATGACCCACCTACTATAGTTAGTTCGCATAATGCTGCGGTCACACTGGACTTATCTTCCCATAGACTTCCATTCATACGCATGCAAATGCGTTAGACTGGAAACGCAAGCTTGTGCGTCAAGTTTCGCAGTTTGCTGCGTTGGAAAGTTCAAGCTTGGTGAACTCTGACCTGGAAAATCGCATCACTTGACTGCGTGAGACCAATTGAGGATCAAAACATGACCTCTCTGGACAGAAATTTGAAGCCATCACGCGCTTTTTTAATGTTTAATCCTGCCGCTTTTCGCAGCACCGTTTGACAGGATTTCGCAAGCTCAAACTCAAGTGTGACCACAGCTTCACTCTTAAAAATTCTCTCGCAAGGCCTCATAGGATATTAAGGGGTCCATTGAATGCAAACTTTAGAATCTCAATGGAAGTAGTCAACCGGGAGCTCCATATATATATATATTTTTTTTTTTTTTTTGAATACTAGTAAATACTATTTGGCTCGTGTGCTGTTGTTCACATACTATATATATACTTTCACCAATGGTCCCTGTTGCGCTTGTCGCCATCTCTCCATAGAGATGAATGGAATTGTGCTGCTTTGCTGTGAATGGAGCTTAAGTAGCCTCAACACTCTTGATACCTCATACAATGATCAGACTGCAGTTCAAACAGCCAAAACCTTGATTTGTTCTGTAAAAAGATACCACATATGTTAACTCTGTGTTTAAAGATGCTTAATTGCTACTAAGAAGTCCAAAGTGTGCCAAGAATGTATTCAACAGCATTACACCACCAGCAGCCTGAACTGTTGATGCAAGACAGGATGGATCCATGCTTTTTTACACCATATTTTGACCCTACCACCCAAATGCCTTGGCAGAAATCAAGTAATTAGGCTATGCAACTCCTAAAAAAAAAGTACTTCTGTATATTATGAATTTGAGTTAATAAAATTCAAATATGTTGTAGTGTCATTAATATTACGTGAACTTTACTGACATCATTTGCATTGCTTTACTGTCATTCGCAAATCTGTCCTGTGGCTTTGTGGGAGAGTGATGTTCATCTGACACACTTCTAAATATCACGGGAAGAAGCAAATCATTTTGGTACTTGTTTATCAATAGAGAAGTTTCCATCCAAAGATGCAAATTAAATTCATGCGCAAAACTGAAATACTATCACATGATTTCTTATAACAAAATCACATGACTTTTTTAATGCGCTTACTGGAATTTGTTTGGTAAAAGTGTTTCCATCATAGTTTATGCTCATCTTTTATCAAATAAAAAGTTCATCATACTCAGTTATGCACATTTTCAAATTGAATGAGCATCTTGGTGTTTCCATTTTTTATGCGCATGTCCAAAATGTGCATAAAAATACACAAAAAATATTCAAAGATGATTCCTTGGAATAACAATTTTTTTTAAAGTCAAGTGGCAGCAAACAATTTATTTGGGCTGAATTCTAACAAATTTAGTTAAACGTTACTAAATTTAATTCATTTGTTTAAATTCAACTACTATTAATTGTTTTCAACAGTTTTGCAGACTGTTTTTCTGTGTAGGTGGATGGAAACAGCTAATGAGTATCAAGAGTTCACAAGCCTACTTTGTTTGTCACAAAGCCTATTGTTTTTAACCTAATGTAGTAGGAAAAGTGTAGAAATATTGGGTACAGCTAATGTTTTCTAGAAAATATGCAAAAGTATGTTGTCAAGAGAAAAAAAAACAAAGTAGATAAAACAGAACAGTAAACAACATTGTGTAGATTGTTCGCATGGATAATGCAGCTTATTTAACCTACATTTTACAACCTCAGCAGATTTTAAATTTAGCCTAATTTATATTAAATATTACCTTGACATTAAATATAAACATGTGACTAGCGTTTTTATTATATTGTTCTTTTTAAAAACACTAAAAAAGCTTGTTCAAACAACCTCTTTTTTCTGTTATTAACTTGTTTTAAGTCATTCAACCCATTTGAATTTGTAAAAACAAAAGTTAACAATCAATTTGTGTTGGAACCACAAAGGAATTGTGTGGAGCCCAGCATGTTTTCAGTGTATACTTGGTAAAGTGCAAGGCAAATGATATGCAAGTGTTCTCAGCAAACTAAACATTACTGAATGTTTTCAGAATACTACTGTAGGTTATGCTATAGGCTATGTCAGCTTCTAATTTAATTATTAACTCACAAAGTGAACTAAGCTAAATCCATCCAATATAGGGGTTAGTGAATGAGTGAACGATTTCGGACACAGTTTGAAACTCACGTGACTCTTTGTTTCTGCGCGAACCTGGATTTGTTTGACACGTCGCGGCAGGCGATTCAATTCAGGTGTTAAAAACGCGACGAAAATATGGTAAGTCAACATATTTCCTCTGTTAAACTGCAGTAAAACAATGCTTCATCATGCCCAGTGTAAAGCCGCCCAGCTTTCAGCTATAATTTACCTCAGAAAGCATCGAAGTGCGGCATGCTTTGCTGTTTATCTCATATTTTAGTACATCAGCGGTGGTTTTTTTTCAGAGGACTCAGATGTTGTTTTCCCCCGGTAAAGCTCTTGGCAGATCGCAGGGGTTCTGCAGTGTGTGTGTGTGTGGGTTCACGTTCACCGTCTCTTAATCTCTCCTGGCACTTGTGTTTTTACAGATAAAACGAACACGTGTAAATCTGCTCGTGAAAATGCAGCCCTATCATGTACTTGACACGCGTGACTTTACGCTAAATCTTAAAGTGCATAACTTCACCTCTCCAATTACCCCACTCCAGTAGAGGAGTCTGGAAAACGAGGTGTGATGTTTACGTCTTCATATAAGTGGTAAAACAGATGGTAAATCAAGCTTAACTCCACAGAACTGCAGAGTTACTGTTTAAGTGTTTTAAATGGAATTTTAATAATAGCAGTTAGCAAGACAATAAACTAAAACGATCTTTAAACATTAACGCGTGCCTTTGCATTTAAACAGGCCAAAGCCCTGAGCACATTTATACTTGATGTGTCAGTTTGTCTTTAAGTATTTATTTCAACGTACCGATAGTACCAACATCTGTTGTGAATACAATTGAAAAAGGGTCATTTTAACAATATTTTAGAAACTTTTCGCTTCCAATTTAATGAGTTATCTGTTTAAAATAAAGATTTAAATGAAACCTTGTTTTAAATAGCTTGGCTTGGCATATCTATCTATCTATCTATCTATCTATCTATCTATCTATCTATCTATCTATATATATATATATATATATATATATATATATATATATATATATATATATATATATATATATATATATGAGCAATTCCAGCGTTATAGGTGTGACATTTGCAGTAATATCTCAAAACATAATTTCACAGAGAAAGTATGTTAACTTTATATTGAAACAATTCAATTTCAATTCAGCTTTATTTGTATAGCGCTTTTACAATGTAGATTGTGTCAACGCAGCTTCATATAAATGGTCATAGTAACTGGATCATGGTAGTTCAGTTTTTTTTTGTTTTTAGTGTTTAAGTTCAGTTCAGTTTAGCTAAGTTCAGTGTGGTTTAAAATCATTATTGATAGTCCAAACACTGAAGAGAAAATTCTTGATGCGTAGCTCTACCGATCCTAAACCATGCAAGCCAGTGGTGACAGAGGGGAAAAAAAAAAACTTCACCGATAGGAGAGTGAAGAAAAAAACCTTGCGATAATAAACAACTGTTTATATTTTCCAAAACTATTAACCACAAAAGTTTAGGAGCAGAAACATATCTATCTCTAAACATTTTTTATATTTTAAGAAAATAAACCTTCGTTATGGATGTGACGAAAAAGTCTGCGAGTATACAGTATACAATATACTTTGTAGAAATTCTGTGAACTAAACTGCACAAACCAAAAGATATAATGCTAACCAAAAGGATGAGAGTTGGTTCTCAATAGATCAAAAACCATTGATTTTATGTTATTTGCCTTTTTTTTTTTTTTTTTTTTTTGCATTAACGAGGAAAAATCTTTGTTATGGATGTGACATCTCTCTGTTATGGATGTGACAGGTGTGAAACTGGCAGTTGTGTGATTTTGGTAAATGAAATATATTTGTTTAAAAACATTGACAGAGACTTTAAATTCAATTGTTATTTATAAATCAATATAAATAATTTATAACTTTTCATGTCAAATTTAAACAAAATTATATTAAATATACTTTTCTAAGCAAAATATTAAATGATTTAAAAAGCAGGTAATACCGTAATATTTATCTGAATTTTTTACAATACCTTTTGTTTTCAAGTTTTCTTAGAAATAAACACAAACTTGAACTTAAAATATGTACAGTGGTCCCTCGTTTATTGCAGGAGTTACGTTCTAAAAATAGGTTGCGATAGGTGAAATTCGTAAAGTAGTCACCTTTATTTTTTACAATTATTAAAGGTGTTTAAGGGTGTAAAACCCAACGCTACACACTTTATACACTTCTCACACAGGCGTTCACATTTTTACATTCTTCACTCTTGTTTAAACACTCTTAAAGTTCAAACTTTTGTAGAAAATTAAGTTTAGAATTATAGAATTATTCCAAAGATTAAAACCTGTTGTCAGGCTTTTTAGCTTTAGTGCGGATAATGTTGCTGTCCAGCATAACGTTTTTTGTTTTTTTTCAGTCACTAATCCACAAACCTAAAGCAGACTCCAATCTTAAGGGGGTCGCACACCAGATGCGCCGTGCACATGACAATTGGAAGTAAACACAGACGAGCACATTCCCATGTTATTTAAAATCAAATTATTCAGATGGTATTCTGAGCACCGCAGACAGCCGCCAACTTGGGGCGCCGGTGTGCATACCCTAAAATCTATGTTTGCATGGCGCTGCGTGGCCCATTGCATACGGTTTGTGGTTCGGTTTACGATGATCTTGCTGCAGACAGTTACAACCCTTTTTGCATCCTTATTAAAACTCACACTGCTAGCAATAGAAAATTTGTGTTAATTTGGCAAATTGAACGTATTCTGTACTATTCGAGACACAGAGGAGATTGATGGCAAAAGTCTACAGCCAATCAGGAAGCTGAACACAATGCGCCGTAAAAAAAAAAAAGAAAAAAAGGGTGGGCATAGATTATTATTTTTTTAAATCTAATTAATCTCACTGTGATCTCGGAATTAATGTAGATTAATCTAGATTAAAATGGCTCATTTGAATTCTGCCTAAGGCATTCAGAATATGTGTGCTACCCAAAAAATAAGTCTTTGAGAACGGGTTTCTCAAACCAGATGGCGCATTAGACCAGGGGCTCATCTCCTGTTTCCAAAATACATCACAAAATGCAACACTATTAGTGGCATATACTTAGTGGCAATATTGAAGTAAACACTGCAATCAAACTATATTTTCCGACAAGATTCACCCACGCGCCTGTCAGTAAAGGACCGCACACAAAACACACACACATATCGCGAAATGCGGAAGTTTTTTCTTTCCATTTGGCGTGCGTTATTAAATTTCATAACACTCTTATTTATATATATATATATATATATATATATATATATATATATATATATATATATATATATATATATATATATATATATATTTTTTTTTTTTTTTTTGTGCAATAAGTGTCTCAAGTTAACATGGCACGTTAGAGCCGATAACGGTCCACCACTAATATATAATCAACATTAATTATAATATTGTAATGTATAATAACAATCAATTTTTTATTATTATAATTATTTATAGTTGTATATGTTGTAGACTTATTTTTTAATATTTATATTTTTAAAATTTATATATTAATAATATCATATGTAATATGTTATTCATTGCTATACTTGTATAAATATAATTATTATATTACACCTATCTATGTATATATGTATGTATGCATTATAGGTATGTATTGTAATAATAAATATTGCTTAAATATACAGGAAAGCAACAAAAAATATATATTTTATGAGGGACTGAACCTAAATTAAATTTAATTTTCCTTCAGCTTAGTCCCTTCATTTGTGTTTTTTTTTCCGCATCCGATACCCTCCCAGCTGCAATACAGTACTGGGAAACACTCATACACTCTCAAATTCACACACTTACACTACGGCCAATTTACCTCATTCAATTCACCTATACTGCATGTCTTTGGACTGTCGGGGAAACCAGAGCAACCGGAGGAAACCCACACCAACATGGGGAGAATCATGCAAAATCTGCACAGAAATGCCAACTGGTCTAACTGAGACTCTAACCAGCGACCTTCTTGCTGTGAGGCGACATGCTAACCACCGAGCCACCATAACCCTAAATGAATCAATGAATTCTATGAATGTCACAGTGGTCAAAATTTGTCATTACAACACATTTAAAATTCCGATCTCATACAGTATAATGACTTGCGCAATCTATTTTCTGCCTGTAAAATGTTCCCGATCCTCTTGCCATTCAACAGGTTGTTGGCCAAAAGTTAATTTTAGGATGCTGCGTGTGGGCGTTCAGTGTTCGCTGCAACACACAGCTGTTCAGCCAAAGATAACCAATCGTCACAGTGTAGGTAACATGCACAGGGCCACTGTCGCATTCATTTGCTAATTCCTCATCTCATTTCCACAAAGCACACACTGTTTTCTTTTTTTCCCCAACCTCTATTTTTGTAAATAATATCACTTGTTTTGTGTCAGGACTGGAAATATGGAAATTTCCAAGCGCTGCGGTAACAGTGGGTTTTCACCTATTTCTGTGTGACAGAAAGAGAATAGACGGCAGGAGGTGGACAATATCCAGCATCCCTCCCTCTTGGTCCCCCAAAAAAGCTGTCGCTCTCCTTCTTGTGCGTCTGTCTCCCTCGCATGAGGAAAATGAGATTACTTCTGACAATGACTGATGGGCTAGCCATGAATACATTTGTTACTGAAAATGAAAATCCCTGTTAAATCTCATTTTAATGAGCAATGCGGACGGTGGACACCGGATTTTTGTTCAATGGCGGCAGCGTGCGCCATCGCTTAAATATTCATAGAGGAACGACCAAACTCATTCAACTTTCATGTTTCGGGGGCCGCTGTGAAGAACTGTATATTTCAAAGTTGATCAAAATCTTGAGCTGCTAAAATTAAATTAGCCTTTTTTTGTAAATAAAAGTTATTTAATTAACTTCCTTTAACCATGTGTTTTTGTATGTTGGAAACAAAGGATTTCTGAATGTTATAAAACAAACAAAATGAGTTTTAATTGATAATTAATTAATTGATAAAGATGGAATTATGTGTGCTTTTTTTGGGTAAGGGATTTTTAAAGGTAATCTGACCGGCCACTTTATTAGGTACACCTTACTAGTACAGTACTACTGTTAACATGATAGCATCACGCAGT